ATGCTGAAGTCATCTGTGTTATGACAGTTATAGCGCTACGACTTTTGCAAGTCAATACTAAAGTCATCTGTGTTATGACAGTTATAGCGCTACGACTTTTGCAAGTCAATGCTAAAGTCATCTGTGTTATGACAGTTATAGCGCTACGACTTTTGCAAGTCAATGCTAAGGTAATCTGTGTGTTACGACAGTTATAGCACTACCCCTGTCACGAGTCAATGCTAAAGTAATATGTGTGTCACGACAGTTATAGCACTACCACTGTCACGAGTCAATGCTAAGGTAATCTGTGTGTTACGACAGTTATAGCACTACCCCTGTCGCGAGTCAATGCTAAAGTAATATGTGTGTTACGACAGTTATAGCGGTACCACTGATGCAAGTAAATGCTAAACTCTTTGAGTGACGAAAGCTTTTGCGCTACGATCCATGATGCATAAAACACAAGTGTGTGTCAATGCACCCCAACTGCGTGGACCGTTGCTCATACTTTTATGCACCGGTTTGCGTGGCCCAGATTCTGTTATTTGCAATCTGCCTTGATTAAGCCATAATTTGCTGTCTGTGACCCAAAACCTGATTCTCTCATTCACACCAAATGTACTTACTATGACCCTACCCATCACGAAGACATATTTCAACAGCGTAATGACTCCCTTTCTTAACCTCCAAAACGTGTTTTCTATTTCCCCAAGATTTGTCACACATGATTCTATTTTCGGGTATGCGTCATCCCTGTTACAAGCGGCAACGGTAATCTCTCGTATTCAACTCAACTTGACACGATCACTAGTAAACGTCATTGTCTAAAAATAGAATGACGTGGCACATCTCTTCACAACGCAATAAGCTCACCCTCACAAGTCCCAACTATTGCAGTTTCATGTCTATTGTGGTCCCAGAAAGTATGCCTGGATGGGTTTCAGCTTTCTCGAGGTAACTCCAAGTATTGCACAAACGCGATAAAGACCAAAATATAGCCAAAATGTATGCATGCGTCAGTTGAGGGAGACGTAAAGAAAACATGTTTTATGATTTCCTTGTTACTGCCTGCCATATGCAAGACATTTACAAAACTGCCAAACTCGGTTGCTATGGAATTCCAGACAATGACTGTGCTTACTGACACATAACGTTTAAATCTCGTTTCATAAAACAGTAAATTACAGTTCAACGAGTTAATGGGCTAAACATGAAATGATACTCGTTACTCAGATAAGACCAAATAATCTCTGATCAAAATTGTAAATAAAACAAATTCTAACGTTTTTGCGGTAAAACGAGCGTTTAGCAACGTATAACACATTGGTACTATACTAAAACTGCGTCCAATAGACAGCTGGTTCCGACCAACTCTACCACTGAAATAGTTATGAAAGCAGTGTTCAACCCTTCTTAGTCTCTGTATAAATTAAATCAAATTTGATTGAGTTTGCATTGTGATAAGATTGTTCACAACCGACCTATGCCATTCATATACTTCCTTGTAGTAACAATGCTTATAGTTAATTTCAATATATTTTCATTGCATCCTCTACAACTGTTATCACAAGGATGTTCCCGTCGAACCCGGCATTGTATTTTAGTGTATACATTTAGTCGAATCAATAGAAGAGAAAGGGAATGTCAAATGAAATGACAACATGACTGTAACTTATAATAGAAATACCGCATTTTGGGACCGACCATTCCATATTCGGGCAGGGGCTGGTGAAAACATATTGTGATTGTGTTTGGAGACTTAACCAGATATTCTATAAACATTGAAATGAGCCTAAATATTTTTTGTAAAAGCTATTATTTCGTTCAAACCTTCATATTAACCCGACATACAAACCATAGTTTTGACTGCATATGACCGTATTGGACGACGCACAGATTGAGTGTACTTCCGGGATTGGGGTACGAGGGTTGACTGATAAGTTCTGAGCCTCACATAGAAACACTTGACCTAAAGACATAAATTTGTGTTCTTTTCCTCATATAATTCCCTTTCACATTGATAAACTTAGGCCAACAATATTGGAGGGACTTTATCCCAGTTTCGTGGAAGTCTTTCTCTTGGCTGTTGGGACGGTCGGGTAGTCTAGTGGCCAAAGAGTTCGCTCTTCACGCCGAAGACCTGGTTCGATTCCCGACACGGGTACAATGTGTGAAACCCATTTCTGGTGTCCCCCGCCGTGATATTGCTGGATTATTGCTAACAACCATACTCACTCACTCACTCTCTTGGCTGTCCAAAAGGTCCTTCGCAGCTGCTATGCTGTTATCGTTCGAGTTGAAATGTGATCCGGTTGGAGCTTTCTTCAGGTTGGGAACAGATGGAAGTCTGACGGGGCCAGATCAGGAGAATAGGGTAGGGGCTGAAGGTGTTCAAAGCTACGCTCGTGTATTGTAGCCATGGCAATGACTGATTCGTGCACTAATGCATTGTCCCGTTGAAAGGGTACACCTTTTCTCAGCTTCCCACGTCTCTTCGTCATAATGTCATCCCGAAAGTGCCCCAAAAGTGCAGAATAATATCCGTTATTGTCTGGTCTGGAAGATAGTCCACCATGACAACAACCTCGACAATCCAGAAAAAACGGAGGCTATTGCCTTTCCAACTAATGGGACATACTTTGCCTTCTTTGGTGGTGGTGATGTCAAATGCTTCCAATGTTTTGATTGTTGTTTGGACATGGTCACAAATCGTTGCGAGAACCTTTTTGGATCAGCTTCAAACAGAGCCTGATTATCACGAGACATGTTGTACCCAACGAGCTGAAACTTTCTTCATTGCCAAAGTTTAATGGAATGTACTCTACCCAGGGAAATGCCTCCTGAACGAGCAATATGACGCTCAGTCATTCGCCGGTTATGCAGGATGGGGGTCGTCTTCAAGGCTCTTCTTGTCACGTTTAAACTCTGCTGCCCACCTCTTTATGGTATCCTTCCCAAGCGTTGTACTCATATCCCCACGAATGGCTTTTAGTGTTACTCAGCAACCCCACTCAACATATTCTGCAAGTACCTTATCACAGAACGTTCAAGTTCGTCCATTTTCCAAAGACCACAGACCCCGGCTCAATGTACTGGCTTGTCACAGCAATACGATTTGCTCAATTGTGGATATATCTCTTTGACCTCATGTAAAGTCCACAACAAAAGATTTCACTATGAAGCAACTCCTTCCCTGTGAGAGTCAAAACTTATCATCAGCACTATTCCATATGTCCGTCATACAGATGCCAGCTACCTCAGATCAGATGGAAACCTAGAAGGAAGACCATGACAAACGTTAAAATTACCAGTTTGTACATCACCATGACCACGAATGATAAATAACGTTATTACTGCTACCTTCGTGCCAAATGCGAAAATACATAGTGACATTATGTATTGTGTATAAAACTGATATGTTTTGACATAATACATAACCCACTCATAGGTTAAATTGCTTCAGTTTGTTTGTTTTTAAAAATGGTGATTTTATGATGACTGGCCATCATAAAACGATTTGTGTTGGCTACCTTGTTTGATAGAGTAATGAATAAAACGTTGTGAAAGCTAAACCTTCTATCTGTTTAATATAAAGACTACAGCTGTGTTAAAAAAGAAGACTGGATTCACTTATCATTATTAGTCATCACAACTATCGACTGTGACAAAGTTGCTCAAATATGTTTTTCAAAATGTGTGTCAGAACTTTTTGTCTGAATGTCTGAAGCATATCCCGGATATCATATGGTCGGCCCTACCCCTCGCCCCACCCCAGGTGGATGCAAACACTAAAATGTCTAATCGATGGTCATAAAACATCAATACCATGAAACACAGTTATTCATGGTGGTAATCACACATTTCCGAATAAACGAAACATACAGACATTTCATCTCACAGTCCTTCTTGATACAAACCAACTGTAATTAAAGTTTCAACAGCTAGATCTCCAACAATTATACAAAACAATTGCTTTGGTCATCAAGCGATCTCCATCGCTAACAACATCTAAAGCTGCTCTGTTCAGGCTGTTCTTCATCATCATTGATTGTACTACTACTACTCCTACTACGACAACGACGACGACGACAACTACTACTACTACTACTACTACTGCTACTACTACTCCTACTACGACAACGACGACGACAACTACTACTACTACTACGACTACTACTACTACGACTACTACTACTACTACTACGACGACAACTACTACTACTACTACTACGACTACGACTACGACTACTACTACGACTACTACTACTACTACTACTACTACGACTACTACTACGACTACTACTACTACTACTACTCCTACTACGACAACGACGACAACTACTACTACTACTACGACTACTACTACTACTACTACGACTACTACTTCTACTACGACTACAACTACTACTACTACTACGACGACGACGACCCCCTGGGAAGGTACGTAAGTCCGGTATCATTCAAAGTATTTTTTCATTTTGCTGTGATTTTAATCGTAGCATTTTTGTTGATTTAAACTGTTTGGCTAATCTTTCTGATCATCGCCAGTAGCCCGAGGGATGGTGTAAATCCTGCTGGGGACCATGTAGGTAGCAGAAGTACCGTAAGTCCCCATGGTCCCTAGTATGGTGGCCTAGCTTCGGTTGCTGGCGATCTACAGCCCGTTTTTATACTGTGTCGTCTGATTTAATTTGATCGTTTTATTGCTCTAAAATTAGTTTTTAAAATTATAATCTGTGATATATTGCTAATTGTTGTACTGTCCTTCGGCGACAGGTTTTTATATATAATATAAATGTTTAACTTGTTCAAGTCACGATATGGCTGAAATAGTGCCGATGTGACTTTAAATATTAACTCACTCACTCATTCACTCACTACGACGACGACGAAGACTACCACCACTACTACTACTACTACCACCACTACTACTACAGCCACTACTCCAGTCTTTGGGTATCGCTCGGTGGCATCACACAGACACTCGCATACAGTTGGTGTATGAAATATACTTTCAGGTCTGAAGATCTGCTCCGGCAGGGCAACCTGTGAAGGGCGGCATGTTAGACTGGAGCCGACTCGCATACTCTCACAGCCCAGACACTTCCAGTTATCCCGAGGTATAGTATTTGGTTATTAAGTTGCATATTTTCCTGCAGCACTTGGCGATTTTAGTGAGTGGTCGAAGTCACTTCAGCTTGACAACAGTGTAAGAAGCTAAATCGAAACGTCACTTAATGCAATAAACCAGTAGTTATCCATGAAGCTGTATACTCTTGTACTGTATACTCACCAACTTCTAAAATGCCAATAAAAAGTCATAAGATATGTTTTAAATTCATCCGTCCGTTTGAGGTGAGTTGGCATTATTTCGGGTTGAAGATGTAATGTGCATCTCAATATGAAGATTCTGTAATAATAATAACATTTTATGTTTCACCTCATTATGTTGAACATGTTCTGGGGCACATGTGGTCTAATGGTCTAATTTGCAGTGTTGAGTAGTGTCCCATAGCCATAGCAAAATCCGTTTGAATCCTAGATTCACCTGTCATCAATATACCACGTCTGTGATGTTCACTTAAAGTATGCCGTCATGCGGTGATATAACTGAAATACTGCTACTTTCATTTCCGTGTGACGCTTTCTAATGATTATACCTACCCTTCCTTTCAGCACAGGGGAAGAGATGGAAGCACCCCTTTTTATGAGTATCTCCTCGAATCTTCTGATTATAGAGATCGAGAAACCCGTCCTGGAGGAGTGATTATTTACCTAATACCTCTCTTTCACGCTTCCCGTATGTTGAGAGAGGAGGATGACACCACTGGCGAGCCATCCAAATTATCTCCATCAATTCCAACGTTGCCTAGTTTACCTGAGTTTGATAAGATTTTGTCTGATGATGTTCCTAAGCCTCGTCGTCGATCAAGATCTCCAAGGAAGGTGCTAAGAGTAGCTTCTGAGTCGAAATCTGTCCATAAAGTTAAAAAACAACGACAGCTCCTCCCTAAACCACCTGAGAAAACAACCTCACCATTAACTAGTCACTCTCCATCTTCCTTTTCTTTTGAGTCTTCGGGTATATTTGTAGACATATCCGATGTTGAATTTGATGAATCAGAACTCACGTCAACAATAATACCTCATGAGCTTTCAGACATATATGGTGAGTTCACGGAGCCCACACCCAGCACAAGTCAACACGATATAGATGTTTTCAAAGCAGTGACAGAGCCAGACTCAGAGGAAGATTCAGGCCCAAGTATCTCAGGCTTTAGCAGGAAAAGACACAGTGACATTCCTCTTATTTTGGACCTCTCTTCATCATCTACAGAGGCATATCCTGTGTTTGAACGAAGTTCAGATGAGGTTGTAAAGACTTTTGTACATGCAAAAGAGCAAGAAGGAAATCAAGAGCCAGGCCCAAGTGTCTCAGGTTTGAGCAAGGAAAGACCCAGTGACATACCTCTTACTTTTGATATCTCTTCATCAGAGGCAGAGGCGTCACCTGGGTTTGGAAGAACGTCGGATGAGGTAGTAAAGGTTTTCGTATATGAAGAGGACCAAGAGGTAAAGCAAGCAGCTGCTGAATCCGAAAAGTCTCAGTCTGTGTTGCCGTTGATTAAAGAAGAACTGAGGACCAGGATTCAACTGAGACGACTAATATCCGGGGATGGAGACACAGAACCCGATATTAAAAAACCTTATAAGGTGAATTACTGTCCCATAACTCATCTATCCCAACTTACCGATGTAGTCGTTCATCTTCTCCTTTGAATGTGTCACAAAACTAAACGTCACTACATCACTTTCAACACTTAACACTGAGAGCATAGCTTTGGAATCATACCACTCCACCGGATACCTGAACCATTATCATATCTGTATCAACATTAAAACACTTGTAGAGAAAATGCATGATAATTTAAAAAAGAAATGCACCATATAGCATATATATGCTTCCTATATGCCTATATTTCCCTCCTCTGAAATGGCACTCGCCTTTGTGGTACAAATATGTCATCACTACTAATTATGTATCATCCCTGATAACAATGCCATGCATCAATATATGGCTTGGGCTATGATTGGAAAGGGTGACAAATATTGTGAAAGAATTAAGGTAGTTGAGGGGAAGTTGTGTGTTTGACAGATAAAAGAAACGTATTTGCAGAGAAGGTATATTGCTGGGAATAACAGGATATCAAACACTCTGGGAAGTATGACACGGTTTTGCATGGCACGTGTTACCAGGCAAATGAGGCAACTGATGAAATACTACATAAATGGCCATTTCATGGTACAAATACCTTTATCACTCACTTTGAAATCTCTAGTATGGCTTTCTGAGGCAAGTAACTTCACTGTTAGGTGAAATGCTTGGTCATATATGCGTTAGTTATAGTGCCCTACAATCTTTTGTATGTGAATATTCTCCAACACATGCAACATGAGAAGATCGACAGGATGGAAACAGGTAAGCCTACACAAAGATAATGACAAGATGAAAACAGTAAGTATGAAATAGAATGGTTTGAACGCCGCCCGTTACTATATAGAGCCCCATTACTCTTTATGAGATTCCCACACAAAATGCTGTTATCTTTGGAGACAGTGGAGATATTGGTACAAACCAAACTGAGGAACAACGGATACATCCGATGGATAACCAAGGGAAATGCAAAGAAGTACACACATAAAGTTTAAATAAATCTAGAAAGGGATAAGTGAGGTACTTGATTTGAGGGAAGGTGGGAATGTAACCATCTGAAAGAAAGTATTGTATTTACTGCATTAAGATTTTAATTAATGTCTTCAGATGATGATACCCAAGATGGCAACGTTGAATGCATGGCTACACCGATTCAAAGTATAGTTGGTGTATTAGTGTTTTAAGTTGAAAAAAATACGCAAAATAAGGTTTCATAGTATTGCTGTGAAAAAAATGGCGTTCTTCATGGCAAGCTTTCAAACGAAGTGCGAAGCTCCCGGTTAAGCATACAGGTAACATAATTCTAAAGATACCAAACAAAAGAAATATCTTATGTGTTATTATTTGTCATCATATTTAAGGGACTGTGTGCATGTATGATATTGCCAAGCCAAAATCTCCGTGGAGCCAACGTTCTTAAGAAAGAAATCACGTTTGAATATGTTAGTACGACATGCTACTGGCTAAATAAAGTAATCGTCTCACAGGTGAGGTATGGTTACCTTGGGTAGGGCCGGGATGTGTTTATTTCCTATTTTGGGCACAGGTGTACAGAGATATCCGAGGTAAGAAGGGATGTTATGTTATTCTGTAGAAATATGGAATCATGTATGTATTGCATAAGGTATTGTATGTATGTTTTCATGCATGTTTCCCCTTTAATATCAGATGTTAATTATTGTGATGATGATAAAGAACAACGTGAAGGTTTCATACGCCGTGTCATGACACAAACGAGATCAAGCTATTGCTGAACATGACTTATTGCAAGTGAATTTAGGACTTCACATTGCCCTGAGACCATTGTATTGTGTGGATGTTGTGTTGTAGTCAGTTCACTCTTCTCAATGGTCTTACGTGTTACCACTGAAGCTGAAAGTGAACACTCTGATTCTATTTGAAATTCAAACTTACTGTTTCAGACTGAATATGTTGGATAAATCTTTGCTCTAGAGCTCGTTATTGTGTGCACTTACCTGTTTGCTGTTTATCACTGTTATTTTCGAACTCATTAACTTTGCTAAATGATCTAGGCAACGACATGGGGTTGCCCAATCTTGATTATTGTCAGCACTCCAACATGCTGCCAGTATCTGTGCTCCAATTTGAAATACATGTATGTCTTGATGTAATGACACAACTTGTATACATGTTTACAAGGTAAGTATATATGTATACTCACACGCAAAAGAAACGCAAGTCGAGTATGCAGTATACATGTTATTTATTTTCAACAGTAAAGACAAGAAATACTAATAGGGCAAGATTGACAAAAAATTGACTGAAGACAGTTTAATGGATTAAAAGGCAGATGACATAATTGTTTTTTTCAAATGTTAAGCGCTTACACAGTTTCGAGTCAATACCCAAAATGTCAGTCAATAACTGGTGTGACCACCATTAGCGTTGATCGCTGCCACACATCTTCTGTACATTGAGTGGATCAGACGATTTGTGAAGGCCCTAGGGATCCTCCTGCACACATCCAGAGCAGCTGTGCGTAGTTCATCGGCAGTTGTAGGGACTGGGCGCACATTGTGCAGACGCCTTTGAACCTCATCCCACAAGTGTTCGATGGGGTTCAGATCAGGGCTGTTGTGTTGTTGCAGAAAGGCCATGGTAGCTCTGGCAACATGGGGACGAGCGTTGTCCTGCTGGAAAATGTGTTGTTGATGTTGTGCAAAAAATGGAACAACGTGGGGTCTGATCACTTGGTCGATATACCGATGAGCATTGACGCCGCGTCCCCGACCTTGACCAACATTCAGAAAGCACATGGGTCCAAGTCTCGCATTAAGTCCAATCCCTGCCCATATCATGACGCTAGGTCCACCCGATGGATCCCTTTCCACAACGTTTCTGTCAGCGAAACAATCACCTCGACGCAGCCAAATTCTGACTCTTCCGTCTGCATGGGCGACACAAAAGCGACTTTCATCAGAGAAGATGACACGCCTCCACTCACGATGACGCCAATTATGTGATGACTCTGTGCCCACTGAAGTCGTGCTTGTCGATGCCGTGGTTGAAGAACAGGATGACGTGCTGGTCGGCGACATCTGAGGTTGTTGGAACGGAGACGTCGGATCACAGTGTCCCGGCTAATGTGTCGATTATGTGTTCCTATGGTCTGTCAAGCCCTTTCACTGCAGTTAGGAACGGATGCCGCTGGTGTTGACGGGTAAGCTACCGATCTTGTCGAGGTGTGCTGACCCTAGGACGACCGCTCCGAGGAAGGTCATCTGTGGTCTGTGTAGCATTGTATCGATGCAGGAGACGGTAAATTGTGGTTATGTTAACGTTGAAATGACGGGCAACATCTTGCACAGACTCTCCAGCTTCCAAACGTCCGATAGCCTGGTTTCTCCGAATTTGAGTTAGGCGTGGCATTGTTGACCAAGGAGTGGTAGGTCCAAGAATCGGCCACAGTTTTATACCCACTACAGTTCGTGACAGTTCGTGCATTTTCGATTTCGCGAGGAATGGGTGCATGATACCCACATATTCATTGAAATGGTGCGTTTTGGCGATTCGTTTTTTATGTTCCGTTTTTACTCGGGGCTTCCAAAATGCAACCAAAAATATTGATAACACCATCAGGTTTAACTACATGCTAAAACTCGTATCAATTTATGGTTCCGTGTTTGTTACCTATTTGCTTAAAACCACTTGCGTTTCTTTTGCGTGTGAGTATATATCATACAGCACCCCAAATGAAATGTATTTGCTCAAGCTATATGTATTGGGTATTGGGTATCCTGATATAAGAGAAAAAGTGCAGTTGAAAGAATATAGATAACTTGCCGATAGAGGCAGGATTGGCCACGGACCCTCAAGCTATGGATGAAATTTCTGAAAACAATCAAAGTCAGGCGACACCAATGATTGTATGGGCAGGCAATAAAGGTAGTTTCAGATTCCTTTATGATATTTAATGCACAGACAAGTGACTTTACACAAACATACATTCTGATTGATTAAGTAGCTGCTAATGATTAACCTTAAGGGTCATGTCGGTTCCAAAATTCTAAACCGAGGTAAGTGGGTAAACAAGTCTAGCAAATATAAGAATGGACTTTTGCCAGTGAGAATATTATGACATTATCATAAGTATGTAAACGAGGCGAGACGCATCTTTTTGAGACATGCAAAAAATGTGAATAACAATACGCTTGCAGCTCTTGCACATACATCATTCTCAATGGCGAGCGGTCGTGGTCATGCTACATTCAGGTGATTCAAGCTTGGAAACAAAGCTCCTTGAAATATAAGTTTCATTGAACTCTACTTGTAGCTGTAGCTGTAACTCTAAAGTCATTATCCCTATAACATTTTAAGTTGTACAGTATCTGATGTGACGAATGAGACAGCTGGATTTGATATCCATATAGAGAGTTATGATATACTGAATAAATCTATCGTTTAGTTTTAGTCTGCATTGAAAAAATGAAATTAATATGATAATAATTTGCAGTACCAGAAAGCTTGATTATGTAAAGGCTTGATAATGTGTGTCAATCTAGCCGTGGCACTTAATTCAACATCTTAACCTGGACTTACTACAGGCTGTGAATAAGAACCTCTTAACCAAGGCAAGACTCAAAAAGCAAAGAAGAGACTTACAAAGTGAGATCCAAACCATTCTAAAGAAACAAACTATCTATATGGGAATGCTTTGCCTATTTCCTTGTCCCAAGAATTGAATCCTTTGAAGTTTCACCTTGATATTCTTTGTTGTCTCTTATAAGAGGATAGAGAAGAAAAGAAACAGTTTAGTTTTGCCAGGTGAGTCAACGAAAGTAGGATGGCCAGGTCACCATAATGACATATGACATTATCTGGGACGAGATCACACTTTTGATGTGAGATTGTTCCTATTGGCATTGCGTTGATTTAGTAGACTTTGTTGAATTATGCATATTGTCACAGAGCTCCACCATCCCTAAATGACCAATCAATTGCTAATAGATAATTTGCATACACTCACATTGGAGTTGTTGAAGGGTGGCCTTACCCGTCACTTTACTAGGTATGCTACACGACTGAAGTCCTCGATTTACACGTCTTTGTGTATTTTGGTTTTCACCTTTTAGACAAAAGACCCCCCTGTTTCAGGTAAATCTGGCTGTATTGCCACCACAAATGATGATAATAATTGAGATCTATATGGATGGTGGCTAAAGGTCTGTGACAATAACTGACCATGTAGATAAATGTTTATTGTGTACAATGTTCGTTTGTATTGGTGTTACGAACACCACGGACGTTCATAAAAAATGAAGGATGTTTAGTTGCGTTTACACTTCAAAGAGTAAAGTGCCACTTAAAAAGGTTAGATGATATTGATTAAGATACCACGCTTTATCATGTATATATCATGTATATATCTACCCATCTTGCACATATTTACACGGGTTGATTGTGGACATTACATGCTGTCTAAGAGGTATATCCAGAAGGAAACTTTAGTCAGTTGAGCAAATTGTTTCGCAGTGACAAGTCAGTAAAATAAGCAGGGGCGTATTACCTTTGCAAAATGTGAGGAACGGTGATGATCAAGTTCTTGCCAATTGTTGTTTGGACTGGAAGAGGTGAATCAAGGTTTCATCCATAGTCACAAATCGTTACACTCGCCTTTCTGGATCAACTACAAACAGAGATAGATTACCATGAGAACTCCTTGTTTTTCTATCAGATGTCAAAAGATTGGAACCCAACGAGCTGATACTGTCTTCATTGCCAAAGTATGTGTGATAATGGAATCCTGGTAAATGCCCACTGAACTAACGATATGTCACTCGATCATTCTCTAGTCGGTCATCAACATATTATGGATTCTCTTGATAATTTCTCTTATTGGGGACGTAACAGGCTTACCAGCACAGGGTTACCTTCAAGGATCTGCCTAGTGACAGCGAAACAATTTGCTCAATTGACTCAAACTTTTGTTGATATACTTCCTTGACATCATATTATGTCCCAAACAAAACTATGCAATTCCTTCAATGTGAGGATTATAACTTAACAATCAACTCTTGTATATTAACAATAATCTTTCTGAGGGGCTGTTTTAGACGGGGCATTCCTTTCCCTTCTTTCTCTACCTGTATGCGAAGAAGATTCCTTTCAGTGTTGTGCCTTGTATATATCAACGTATAACAGCTATCTTTGTCAGTATTGCAACCTTCTTGTTGTGACAACTGCATGGGTACTATCATTCTGTTTCATTAATTATATGGTTTTGGATAACAGGCATTTTCAGACATTTCAGCGAGGTGAAATTTGAAAGTCCTCATTCCACAACTAATCTCTACTCTCCAGGCTCTAGATCTATATTAGGACCAACACAATCTGGCCTGTTTTATGAATTACCATGGGTTTAGGTTTGGTTGACATGGTGCACATATTTATCAATTCATTAAGTTAAGGGTTGAAAAATGTCTCTGAAGAAGATATGCATGAAGACAACTGTCATGAATCAAAACCACAGTTAATTCTGGATGTTTTGAAACTTCCAGGAAGCATTTTCACATTTACATGTAACATGAAAAGCACAACATGTAGTTGTTCAATCTCCTAGGAGACTATATTTCTTGCAAAACCTACATTATGATAGCATCACAATTGTACCTGTACAGTCTAGAAGAATATGCTACTTTGACAAAAACAATTGCAGCTGTACAGTCTAGAAGAATATGCTACTTCAACAAAATGTAAATGTCAGAAAAATGCACCTGTTTAGATTCTTTGAATAATGTCTTAGTTGAAATAGTGATTGTAGCTGTAGACTATATAACTCTAAAGTCTACTTACTCCGTATTTGATCTCACTGGGGACCTTTTTGTTGCAACTTTATCAGATGACATTAGATGAATTGAAAAAACGTGAGAGAAAGAAGGAACAGAACCGACGGGCGGCTCTGCGATCAAGACAGAAACAAACAGATCAAGAGATCGCGATCACACAGGTAGATATCGGCACTAGTTATCATAACTTATTTCTATGTCAGCAGCCGTCAAATAGCTGTAATATTGCTGATTCCTATGTTAATGTGAATGTAAGCTCACCATTCATCATGGATGTCTGTTAACAAAGGACGAAGCTGATTAAAAAATATATGTCATTATTTCTTTTTCAAAACCAATTTTACAAAACAGATGACGCATATGATCATCAAGGTAGCATTTTCAAAATTTCAGCTTGAAATATCGACACCCAGATTGTAGTTGTAGAGGTGTTGGAGTGGTAGATCTGAAACGCAAGCAATGCATTTAAGGAACTCAGTGAAAAGAGAATTGTAATATTATCTTATTTAAAAAAATATTAACTATAATCTAAAACTCACGTACCCGACTGCCTTGGAGCTTGGACAATTGGAGTCAAATTTACTTTCAATCTGTTATTTGAACAGAGGCACCGTGATCAGCTGAAACGGAATGGGGTTTTGGAAAAGGAAAAGGAAGAATTGAAAAAGGAACGCCATTGGTTGGTCAAGCAACTTGAGCATCATATCACTACTGAATGTGTGCTGCCACGTTGTGCCACAGATATGGTATATGTCCAATGTATCAAAAGTGGTCATCTTCAACAAAGTTAATGGTGTCACCAGCAATGCATATGTTCTGCACTCAAGCATGCACATTCATATACACCCATGCTGTTAGATACTTTATTGCTGTACTTACCGTTTTGCACACGGATGTCCTTTACCCCAAATAAGGAATCATCATTTAAGAATTGTGTCTGTACATTACGTAATGTCAGGAATTTATGAAACAGAAAATATATTTTTTACTAGTGGAATGGAGGTTGATGATAAGGATGTTATGAACCATATATATGTATCGTCTGCAGAATATATTGCCATTCTCAGGGACAACGATATGAATTCATTTATCAATTAGACACCTAGACAAAGAAAGGGCACCCAATGAAGCCAGTTTAGATCCTTAAAAGGATCACGTCAAGGTGTTACGCAGAACTAATACAAGGTCCAGAAGAACCTATTAGGAGATGAAAAGGAAAGACAAGAGCTGGCCACAGAAAGCAGACCCTGGTCATTAAACCATCCTATTACATCAACTCCAATGCTTCAAATACACCAGACACTACCAAGGATGGAAGGGCAGTTTTAACGGGCTGTTCTGGGTCTCGACAACACGAACAGAAGTGGAGGACCCGATGGAACAGAAGAAGCTGCATCTTCCCAGCTGCTTTAGGGATGGACCATTACATTTCTGAGAGTGGGAGGGCGTCCAGTGATCTTTTTAGAACTGAGTACAAATTATTCTTCCAACTCGTCAGCCCTAGAATATCCAATGGTCAGCTCCTTGGTTTCAGCTTGATATTCGTGGTATGCTTTTATTGTTACAATTCTTTATCAAGCAATGACTAAATTTAGAACATCATGCTTCAAGTCTAATACTGATCTCATCACCAGGTGATTGACATATTTTGTTAATAAATGCCATATGATGTTAATTTCTATGATTTCTAACAGTCTGCAGAACATGCTTATCCTTTTCGCAAACACCTGGTGTCACTTTACAGTGATTCATTGATATAATGTTCACCTATATTTTCCTTTTACGCCCAATGGGATCTGTTTCGTCAAATAATCGATAACTAATAATCTCGGGCGTTGACGTTTATATTCGCGCATGTGTTCTAAATGAAGTAGACATGGTTCAGCAAAGAACTGCATCTCAGATGTAAAATGTCATACACAACAAGTTTGATTTTATCCACAAAAGTAATAATCAAATATGAAATTAAAATGAAAAGAAAAGTACTTTGATGCATTCGTCTGGCATTTGAATATCAGGAAATTAATTTTGTTATGCTCAAATAATCAATACATTTATCAAGAACATATTATGAAAGCATGGTTTAGGGTCGTTTTAATAAGGGCTAAGCTCAACTATGTTTATGTAGGACATAGTTTCTGGAGCACCCTGGGTGGGTACATTGAATAATGTAGATATGGGTCTTCTTGAACTTGTGTAATAGTTTCGTTGGGTAATGGGATGTATTTGTTCATTCGTCATAACTTTATTAATGTGTTGAACATTTGTATATGATTATATAATGGTTTATTCGTAAATTTGACCAATATCTACGATGAAAACAGTAACTTCATTTATTGACATAATAGAAAACATACTCTGACATAAGCGACAGTGTCGTCACGCATTGTAAGGCACACTAACTCCACAATTAAAGATGTATCGTTCAATATTTTATTATCATGATTTATATCCTCTTATAGTTTAGATATTATTATTATTATTATTATTATTATTATTATTATTATTATTATTATTATTATCGTGTTACCACCAGAGTAAGAAATATTAAAAATATATTTCGAATCATATTACAATACGTAGAAATCAGTCGTGTCTGGTTGTCGAATATTAGGTGTTCCGTTAAAAGATGGCGTATGTTATTCAAGAAGGAATGTAATATATCAATTCAATACCGCGTAACACATGAACTGTTGGAGAATTGAACAAAATTCCCTTCCCGTCCTTTCTGTCCAATGTATTAAAGTTGAAATCTTTGGTTTGTAAAATCGGGTTATATAGTTTGAGCCACTAGTGATAAGAACATAGTATTGTGTTGTGACCTGTTATCAATAATAAACAAAGACTCATTAGTTAAGCTTAATGTTTGAAAACGCATATATGTAATAAGATTCGTTGACAAAAGCAAAGGAATTGTTTTGTTTTGAAATATTCATTTTGTTGTTGACATATTCTTTCTTCTGTTTCGTGTGAATTTTGTTGTGTTTGAACTTCGATTCAACAAATAGTAAAGATTGAATCCAGGTAAGGACATTTGGGAAAAATTAGGAATTAATGGAATATTTTGAATATAAGCATGCAGAGGTTTTTAACGTGGTCATTATTTTGTTAGTTTTAGTCATATATGACTTACATCGCGTACGAGATCCGAAGGGAAGTGTTTTATGTAAGTTATAAACTGGAAAATCTGAAACAATATTTATCAACAATTTTCTGTTTCATACTAGACTGACATTACGTCCCAGAAATAAAGTTAACTTATTTAGAAATATATATCTACAACATTTTTAAAACTCATCCAAATGAAGCCCAGAACAATCCTTGAGCCGAGGCAATCCACATATGCCAAATCTAGTCTTCTCTTTTATTAAACGTATTGTCTGGGGTCCTGGGGGACAGATTTTTTTCCAGATAATTTCCATGAAACGGCCATAAAATATCTCTTGATGGACGACATCTATTTGACAGAGAGATTTTGAAAAGCATGGTGAAGTATGAGCTTTTCAGTGGCCTAGTGGTTCGCCCACAAGGCTAAAGATACGAACGTTGCAAGTTCGATCCATGCAAATATAAAGAAAACTTTTGTTATTTGGTTTTACATCATTCCTCAGACATACATTGTATTCAAATGCAAAATATATCACTAGCGAGAGACATTAATGTGTCACAATATCACCAGAACTTGTTTCCATAAAATCCCTGGGGTGTTATATCATCCCAGTACATGTTATGTGATCCGATTGGATAACAAAGGACAACGTAACTGAAGGTTTAGAAGTTTAGTCAAGTCATGAAATATTTTACAGAAATTTTAAAAGATCAAAAATTGGGTTAAATATGAGAGTGAAAATACACGGTGGAAAGGATAACCCAATACAGTAAAAAACTCCGTGCTGGACTCAGTATTATATATTAATAGTGTTTACTGTGTGTGTGTTACTGCTAGTAGTTCGTTATGCAATTTCTATAGTGACAATGAAATTTCCAGAAATAATAATTATACTATTAATTTAGACATTGATTCAAACATATATAGGTAGATTCAATTTCAACATTTTATAGCTTCCTTAAGTTTGAATTAGTTAACAGACACAGTATTCAACTGATGTGTTTATTAACAACACATGACCAATTCTTAATGAGGTTTTGATGAGGTTAGGAGGTGAAACTGTGGGAAATTGATTGATGCTAGGCTCTTTCGAAGCATATTATGGTTGGTAGGATGGGTGTTAGTACCACTCTTCAATGATCTTCTATCGACCACAGGATAGACATTGGGCGAAGGGACAGAACTTCATGTGTGCAACATTCTGTTTGTGTGCTATTTGTTTTTTTCTGGTCAGAAATTGGCAACATATATTCTAATGTTTTACTATCTGGTTCTCAGGTTAAAATTAGGTTGAAAAATTCAGGTCAGAAATAAGAAAATATTATTTTTAGTTTTGCCTTACTACGGTCGTAGCAAAGAAGCAGGGGATCGTTATTCCAAGGGGACAGTTTTTTTATTTCTATTTTGTTAATAGTCAGCTTTCTTCCAAAGGCTGGATGGTGGTTCATGTCTGAGTCGGTCGGAATAAAACTTCTCAAATTTTAGTCTGATCAGTCTTACAAATCTATTTACACACCATGGCTATCACACAACTATGTTATCGTATATGCATCACTGCAAATCGGCAATTTTATATCTGAAAGTAATTACATTATAGTATATAAATTCATTTCTTTTGATAAGTTTAGCCTCACTGAATGTATTGTTATAAACAGTTTATTTTTATTATGATGATTAGCCAATGTGTTAATTTTATATCCTCAGCACATGTCAGATCTTGTTTTTGCATCGTGTTTCTTAATTGTCGTAATGTCAACAAATTTATCGATTTTCATTTCTTCCCGCTACAATGTTTTTCCTTTCAGAGAAACAATAACAATGCAACTCATGGGTGCCTTTCAATATTTAACATCATGAAACATTAGCTAACCAACTCTAAAGTCGTCTTCGGACCTGACGAACTTCAAGAAACATTCTCTTCACGCTGAAGTTAGTTTGTTTGTTGTTTAACGCCACACTCAGCAATATTCCAGCTATATGACGGCGGTCTGTAAATAATCGAGTCAATCCAGTGATTAACATTATGAGAATCGATCCACGCAATTGGGATACGGTTCAGCGAGCCTGTCCACCCGATCCCGTTAGTCGCATCTTACGACAAGCATAGTCGGCTTTTATTACGACCCATGTTCGATTCCCTACAGGTACAATGTAATGATTTTTCTGGAATATTGCTGGAATTTTTGGAATATACTCATTCACTGATTTGGTAGTGACGCCCCTGCAACTTTAGGTTTTGTTGTTGTTTGTTTTTTGTTTAACGCCGCACTCAGCAATATTCAAGCTGTATGACGGCCCCTGCAACTTTAATACCTTGACCTTGTTATCAGAGGATTCGATATATAAGTCTTCAAAATATCCGGATTTCGTTACGGGGATTTCCTTATATCAGAATGTCGTTACATCCGGACCTCGTTATACCGGTTTTTCGTTATATCTGGACCTCGTTATGCCGTTTTTTATTTATAACCGATATGTATCTATTTATGAGTATGCAAAAAAAACCCATAAAAATTCCGAATCCATCGTGCACACAACTAAAAAAGGAGCGTTGACATTCAGCATTCACTCCCGACATGACGAGGTCGTATGTGTAACGGAATGTAGGCGATAAGGACGTCGCCTGCAAAATCTTAACCGTCTCACTAAACTTATTTAGTCACTTTTATCACGATAATTAACCCGACATGCTTGATTGAACATGAAAAGGTTGACGCTAATCACTGAAGTGAGAACCCTTTGTTATCATTTTGAAAAAAAATAATGTTTTATTGCAATTGTAATAGAATTTTGATGTTTGAATTTGTATGAATTTTATTATTTCCTTACCTGACAGAGGTGTTGTGAAATAGGGCAAATTATGTGTTAATGATATGATGTTTGGTTTACATATGAGATCGATTATATTTTTGTATCGTAATGAAAGATCGAATGTTTGTTGGATGCCGTTTTAGGTATTTTTGATTCTATTTGATGCATTGTGCATTTGTTTTGTGTAAATATTTAAAGATGTGTGTCAATCACTGATATCATCACCCGAACTGTCAAATAGATTGTGTAGTCACCGTAAAAGGCGACTATGCTTGTCGTAAAAGGCGACTAACGGGATCGGGTGGTCAGCCCCGCTGACTTGGTTGATGCATGTCATCGATCCAAATTGCGTGGATCGATGCTCATGATGTCAATCACTGGATTCTCTGGTCCAGACTCGATTATTTACAGACCGCCGTCATATAGCTGGAATATTGCTGAGTGCGGCTTTAAACAACAAACCAACAAATGATGTATTTCACTGTGAAAAAGCAAAGTACGAAATTATAAGAAGAAAATATAATTATTGCAGTGATTGTCTGGAATGTTTCGAGATTGTCTTGTAATGTCTTTAAATTTTACATACACATTCCCAAGACTAATCCGGGGTGGAGTTTACTGATGAACAAAGTCCAGATTTACAATGACAATCAAGGAATCCCTGCATTCCGGACGTTTTGTAAAAAACGTCTCTCTTTATAAATACTTTCAAACTAATATTACTTTTTAGCTATGATTCATGCATCCGTCCGGATTAACGAAGTTTCAGTGTTTTTTGCTGTTTCTCCATTCAGCCTAATTTCAGCTATTCTACTCCGAAACGATACATGTAGTTCTCTTAGTGAAGATCTGAGAGCAACTCCATAGGGGAACGTTCAATTCAGGCTACAATTCTCGGTGCGAATATAACAGGGGGGGGGGATGATTAGTGATTATGGAAAGAATACATTTTTTGTTGCCTATTAGTCCTTATACATCCTCCATAAGTCAGTGTAATATATCTCCATTCTGTTATGATATATACCATGGATCAACTCGCTGCCACAGTTTTCTTCAATTGGAGAACATGGAAATTGTGACTTGCGGGTGTCTGTATTTGGTAGCGAATGGGTCCAGTATGGAAAACTGTAAGGGACATTCTCGCGATCTCGCATTCTCGTGTTTTCGGCATATTTACCTCGTTTCCAAAGGCCGAGATCGCGAGAATGCGAGATCGCGAGAATGTCCCTAACAGTATTCCATAGTCCAGGGTACTTATTACAATAGAATGGAGGTATAATACCCTGGATAACCAAGGATTTCATTTTAAGGAACATAATAGTTGGTATCGATGGGGATTAATTCTGAGAGATTTAATCTTGGTGCATGTGAGGCATGTTTTAGATTTGTACTAGTGTTCATTGGCGTCTTCAATTTTAGTATTTAATGTTAACATGTGATTAAAGTATGTGTACCGAAACAGGGAAACCGTAACACAATCTTACCTCGTATTTACTCTGCGTGAGTTAAAATTAAAATTTAACGCATATCAGAATTGTTTCAGCCACATAGCGATTCTTCCTCTTAGTATAGAACTATGCTTTTTCCCGAGGCAAGGGAGTTAAGGGTCTTTTAAAGTCAGTTAACTCCCTTGTCTCGGGAAGATGAAAACTATGTATAACATTCCCTTATTTACTACATAATTAAATAACAAAGTCGAATTAACATGATTTGTTAAACACCAATTTCTTTACATTTGTTTCTATTATAAATGAGATGGAAATAAGTGTATATAACACATGTCTTACGGCGGCCTGGGGGCAGGGGTGGCCCAGTCGTCTTAGGCGCCGCGATTCGCTGTGCAGAGTTGCGTCTCTTGGGCACGCCAAAAACCTATGAATGTGGGTTCGAATCCTGGTTCGCCCCAATTATGTTTCTAGGTTTGTCAGCACCATACCCGTGCTCTTGAGTTTCACCGAAGTAGTAAACGTCTGAGACCTGCATCACATCGGGCTTTCCTCCCATATTCAGCTGACACGCCGTGATATAACTGGAATACTGTTAAAAGCGGCGTTAAACCCAACTCACTCACTCACTACAGCGGCCTTGGATGGCGGACTAGCCTTGTGGTCAAAGCATTCGCTTGTCGCACCGAAAATCTGTGTTTGCTTCTCTTTCTGAATACAGGTGAAACCGCTACTGGCGACCCCTGTCGGGATTCTGCTGTGATATTGCTTCTTAAAGTCTTTTAAATATGTCCGAATACTCTAAATCGTCAACGTAAGAGCTGGATATAAATGCTGGTAGTCTGTTATCACACCCCAGCTTGGGATATTGATCATGTAAACAATAAATGGTTTTGCCTGTGTGAGAGTCCATTTTTTATACGCTCATATCATTTAACGTAGCTGGAATATTGATTCGGTGGCATTAAACCAATCACCATGAACTCGATATTGTAATTTTAACGCCACACTTAGCAATATTGTCTGGCCCAGATACGGCTACTTACTGACCGCCGTCATATAGCTTGAATATTGCCGCGTTAAGCAACAAACAAACAAACAAACATTGGGCGTAAAAGGCAAAATAGTGGTCAATATTTCATGAATGGATCGCTGAAGGTCCTGCTTGATAGGTAGCACCTCCACTTACATAATTTGCGTTAAGAAGCCAGTCTTTGTTTTTCATTATTTTAATCAGATTTGTGTTAAATTACATTCATATTCAAATTTAAACGGCAACAGAGAATTGAGTTGAAAAAGCTGATGCACAGATAAAACATGTACCAGAAAGCTGTATTATTTCAAGTTAGAGCAACACCTTCGTAAGAGCGTCCATGCTTCTGTGTGTGTTTCTCATCTCCCGCCGCCTGCAAAGATCCCTCCCACCGGAAGAATGAAATTATTGTTTAATCCTGAATTACCCGCCGTCCATCTTTATTTGTATGCCGCTTCTCGAAAAAAGTATCAATTTTCACAATGCGTTCAAAGTGCACTGTTGAAACTTGGAATGGAAGCAACTGTTTGCTACTCTTATTTCTGTGTTGCGATATAGGATTCGCCACCACTATAGTTCCGATATAAGGGGGGGGGGGGGGGGGGGGGGTTGGGGAGAGCTGTGTCGTTGTTTGAGAAAGTACATGGCATGAAAACCTGAGACAATTGCAATCACACAGACGGCCCCTCTGTTATTTGTGAAGTTCAGGGTTTGTGCAACCTTGGCAATGAAAGTAGACATAGGTTACTACCACTTTTGAAAACCTCTTGACTACTGCCTTCGGTGATTCTCTCAGCGAAAAGAGAGTTAAAGTAACTTTGTTCCTCAAAAGGCTTGACTCCAACCATCACAGCCTGTTCAGACGTCTCTTCCTCACCTGTACGCCTGGTTCACTTATAGTCAGCCAAATTGGTAACATTTGCAGTGATTCCATCTATTCATTTTGTCATTTATAACTTTATTATTACCAATATATACGAAACCGTAGCCGAAACATACCCGTTAGTTACCACTTTAAAAAAAAGCAGTGTGTGGTTCAGCTTACTGTCTTATTTCAAGAAGATTGCAGACATTGATTCCTATTTGTTTGCAGAAACTTCAGTGTAAATAGTGCTCATAACATTAAATAGTTCTGGGAGTTGCGAGACATCTGCGAGATGTAGTTTGTTCACTAAGTTGACTAGTTGTCCTATTTTCGTTCAGCTGTGAAAATCGAAAATCAACATTTGTATTACATCCATGTAAATATTGTAGGAATTTACTGTACGAATGCTTTTAAATATGAAATCTGCATCCTTTAGGAATGCATATTTTGCATTTCTTTGTTGTAAAATGTATACATTACTAGATCAGGGTCGTCTGTCATTCAAATTTGATAAATGAAAAACATGTATGAGAAACTATCTAGATCTAAACCTGTGTAGAAAGTTTTCGCCTTGTACAATATGTACAATAAATGTACAATATCCGGTTCCAATTGCCCGAGACTGCATGTCAGAAGATATATACTTGTTTTATAATTAAAGTTATTTCAGAACTGACGCGAACCGGTGTTTACTGACTTGGAATAGGACACCGGTAGGAATGTTTATTAATCACAATATGACTTTATGGTGATGATTTCTTTTTATCTACATGTGCTTTCCTCTTGGATAGATGTTTTTTTTCTACAAAGTGGGAAATTTCAGTTTTTCCGCTTCAGCTTGCTCACAATACTCGACCAGACATATTGTCTAGTAGCTAAAAGCAATTTTCGATTCTAACC